CTGGCAAGAGGTAGGGGCGTCGGGGAGGGGGCATCGGGGTTTGGGGTGGAAGGCAGAGGGTGGTCCTCAGGTGCACCAGCTGGGCAGAAACCCCTGATCCACTTAGGAGGGCCGCTGAAGAAAGCGAGGGGAAGCGGCTTTTTGTCTAAGACATCTTCCCTACCCGTCCCAAGGCCACGCAATCCAGAAGCCTCTGCGCCACGCCATCCAAATCAGAGGGTGGAAGGGAAAGCTTTTCCAAAGGATTCAGTGCAGTTCCACCTTTCTTTGCTGCCTTAAGTTTGGTTAACTTTTCCTGCTTCTGTCACCCCCTGCACGTACATTAAGAGAAATGCCTTTTCACTCCAAGGAACCAGCAGTCCGCCTTCACACCCACCCTTCCTTCTCTGTTCTGGAGCAGGAGACACCCATTTGCCCACCTGAATTACAGGCTTAGTCCCAGGCTTTGGCCCCTAACTCCCCGTTTCAGTTTGATCACCCTCAGTTGTAAATGCTGGCCTCAAATGCTTGGCTAGCCTCAAAAAACTAAGCCGGGTCAGACTTTGGATAGGAGACCACCAGGAGATCTGGGAACTTTAGGATCTCAAAGAAACACCCCAGAAGAAAACTTCCATAGTTTGGACATGTCCTGAGTTGAAGCTGAAGACTCAGAAGTCTGGCTGAAGTCAAGGGAGTTTACTTTTTAAAGGGTCTTGGCACTTCAGCTGCTTTAAGAGTTTAAGGGGGGGGGATTCATTCATTCATTCATTCAATTTATATAGCTGCCCATCTCAGACCAGTGACTCTGGACGGCTTACAACAATAAAAACAGCCAACACTTAAAACAGTAAAATTGTAAGGAGAGAGGGTAGCAAAAGGAGTGTGTGTGTTTTGCCCGGGACCTGGGATCATAAGGATCTACTAGGGTCCCTGGGAGGCTTTTGTGATGGTTCACCTCACCTGCCCTTCTAGCTCCAGGGTGGTTGGGAAGTCCGTGGCTCAGGCATCATGGAAGCTCAGATTTCTGGCGCCCGCATTGGGGTGGGTGGGTCAGCTAAGCTCTCTTTGTAGCTGGTGGGTTCAGACTGTCCTGCCGGGCCTGTTCAATTGCTCCTTCTTGGGATGTAGTTCGTTTTCAAAAGGAATCCCCACGAAGGTGAGGAGAGGAGAGGAGAGGAGAGGAGAACCTCCCTTTCCCCCAAGAAAAGGGGCAACCATAAGGAAGGTCCCGCTCCAGCACAGTTGGGCTGCCGATGAGCTCATGGGCAAATTCAGGTAGTTCCCTGTCAGTAATTTGGAAGGGAACTGCCATTGCTTTTGTGGGGATATCCTCCCCCCCCTTTTTTTTACAATCTAGCCTATAGCTCTAGCATTTCCAGATGGTCTCCCATCCAAGCATAAATCCTAACCCTGCTTGGCTTTTCGAGATCAGCTGAGGTCTGTTGACTGCCTGTGCAGATAGATAGACGTCAGTATGCATTGCTATAGGCAGGTGGAAATTATATTTCTCTCTTAATTGGAGGTGAGGCATTTACAGCCTCCTACATGGGCAAGGGCCTCCATTCCAGGGACACCTCAGCAGGTCTCCCGCCCCCGCCCCCCCAGCCAGGCCTAACTACCATCGCTCCTTCCCAGACGCTTCTTCCCCTCCCCCAACAGACGAGTTGCAAAGACTCCTCTTGGAACAGATGGATCTCAGGAAGAAATTGGAACGGGAATTCCAAAGTCTCAAAGGTACCTTCCGCGTCCTCTCGCGGTCTGCCCAGAAGACGCCGCCCCCCTTTTAGGCTTTTCCGAAACGGTCCCTCACGCCTGCGCTGGGTGGGATCCGATCCCGGCTGGCAGGCTGCGAAATGGCGGGTTTTCGGAGGAGGGGCGGCAGGGAAGGC